TGGAACAGGAAAAAATAAAATATTATTTATTATGGGTTTATTAACCGATGGTGCTGCTTGGACTTTTCAAGTATGTCAAACATAAAAATTGATATTACTTATTAAAAAAATCAAAAAATTTCTATTTAGAGTGAATTTTTTAGTCAACAATCTGAATATCAAGTATATATAACATTTAAAAAAAAAAGACTTTATTTTGTTTTTGTTTTTTCTTTGTCTAGTGTGTCACTTATGATAATCGTGGTATTGCTGGTTCATCATCACCATTTACATTTCAATATACAACAACACAAATGGCTAAAGATGCTATTGCATTAATTGATTATTTAAATTGGATAAAATGTCATGTTGTTGGTATATCAATGGGTGGTATGATTGCACTTGAATTTGCTTTATTAGCACCTGAAAGAGTTCTTTCATTGACATTATTGGCAACACATGCTGGTGGTCTTGCTGGTCGTGCACCATTTGTTGGTATTCATCATATATTTCGATCTTTTGTTATACGTGATGAACATTTACTTATTGAAAATTCTCTTGAAATGCTTTATGGTTCTAAAACACTTGCTGATTCAGAAAAACGAAAAGTTTGAAAATTAGAAAAAAATTTTCCCGTTTTTTTTTCGATTTTTTCTTTTTCATATTAGGTTTTTTATAATTATCATATTGAACGATTTAAAAAACGTATTCGACCAAAACTAATTGGTATATTAGGACATATTTTAGCTGTTCAACGACATTATGTTAGTTATGCTGATTTACTTAAAATTCGTTATTCACCATTTGATTGTTTAATTATGGTTGGAACTGAAGATCGACTTGTACGAGAAGCAAATTCATATATTATTCAAAGAGTTTGTTTCCTTTTTTTTTTGTGATTAATTAAATAAAATCTTTTTTTTTTACATTTATTATAGACACTTGGTTGTCGACTTGTTAAACTTGAACATGCTGGACATGGTTTACTTGGTGAATGTGCAAAAGAAATTAATGAAGAATTATTTAGTAAATACAATAAGAATATTGTTTATTTGATATATATATCTATATTAATTTATATAGATTTTTTTGAATCAATTCGAACAAATGATTCATCAAGAATTAAACGAGAAGTACCAGAAGAATATAAAACAGAAATTAAAGCACTTGAACAATGTTGTCAACATCGTACACATTGTCTTATCTATGATATGGTTGGATTAATAAATGTAGGAGAAATTCTATTTTTAATATCTAATATTTATTAAATATTTCCATACAGATAAATTGTTTTGCATTGTGAAATTTTTTTTCTATCAAAATGATAATAAGAGATCCTCTTGAATTAGTTTGATGATTTTTTTTTTCTTTATAAGGCTGAAAGTGAAGCACTCTGTGATGATGAAATACCTTATTATAATGAGAGAAGTAATAATTAAAATAATTGTCTTCTTATTTCATGAATAGTATCAATTACTATGTAAAAACAATTGAGATAGAATAACATAAAAGAAAATGATCGTCATTCTGTTGTTTAACTATATAAACTCTTTTGATAAAAAAAAGAAAAACGATCACATTACGAACATAAGTGATATCAATTATTTTAAATGTTTTTTTTAAATTTTCACCAATATTTAAATATAAATGATTTGAAATTCTTTTTGCATCAATCTTACTAACCGAAATGACGGATTACTATCAATCTGATAAAATAGTAAAAATTTATCATGATATACTTATCAAAGCAGCAGTGGTCAGACTTTTTAAAAAAAGTAAATTTCCATCATAAATTATCCAATTTCAGAAAATTACTTACATAGAAATAGCATACCAATTTCGAAAGGATTTATAGAGAAAGATCTATTTATTATCAAAAAGAGAGACAAAATCACAATAAAGCTATTGTTATTTCTATTTTTTCATATCTCGATCAGTTTTGTTCTAACAACTTTGCTACAACTTATAGCTATTTCTTCACTATTTGAGAGAGAAAATCAATGTTATATATAGAATGAAAACCAACCGTATGGATAGAAGTTTATATCGAATAACAAATAAGGATAAATCCCGTCACTCACAATGAACAAGTGTATAGTGAAGGAAAGAAAAAGATCAAAGATGTATGACATATGTATATCAAAGGAAAGAAAAAAAAATCAAACATATATGACGATATATAATGCAAGAAAGGAAAAGACCAACGAACATAAGAGATCGAAAGATACGATGATGTGTCAATAATCACCTAACAATGATTAATATTCAACCTACATACGATGCCGTCATAATTGGCGCATTAAAATAAAATTAGAGACGCATTGAGATCGGGTGCAAGTGGGAAAAGGGACAAATCGGGTAATGACTATTGAAAAATCTGGATATTACTATAATTATCATCAAAGCAATCAAAAAGAACCGTTACAAAATACAACGATTTCTTGAAATTTTCTTAAGTATATGTATAGTCATATGATGAAAACAATATGTTATTCTATAAATCAATGAACATTTCGATAATTACCTGGAAAATTCGAAATTTTCATTTATTTATGGGGATATGGTCTATGTTTCATTATATGAATATATATATTCATAAGTTACTAGTTATTGTTTTTGATGAATTAATTTGCTACAAAGAAAATTTACTTTTTTTTTGAAAATCTGAAAACAGTGTTTTATCCAGGATTTTTTCTCCGGAGGGGCGATTTGAATTTTCGAGGGGGCGAAAAATTATTTTCGGGGGGGGGGGGGGGGGGGCCCCCCCCCTCCGGGCACCCCTCTGGATAAAACACTGTCTGAAAATACCTCAAAATTTCTATTCAAAAATTTTTATCTGAGCATATCTAGATTTTTCAAAAGCAAGATAATGAAGTACCAAAAAAAAAAATGCTTTTATAATCGAATGAAAAATTCAAAGCTAATTCTAAACATTACAAATCTTTCTTTAGAATCTTGAGATGAGAGTCAACATTTTTTTTTTTCGTATATGTGAACTTATTCAGAAAAAATAACCTTTGTAAATAATCAAAGGTAAATGAAAGGTGGATATGTCATATTTTTTTTTTGTTGCCTAAAGTAGCCTATATTCTAGTTCAAATATAATCATATTCGAATAATAAAATAACCGGAGAGAATCGAAAAATTTAAATGTTAACGGAATATAATTCTATTTAAATTACGTAGTTATGTTTATTTATCAAGGTTGAAATAATTCATTCATGAAAATAAAACAAAGATTCCTTTTTTTTGTTCTGATCTAATCGATTAATACATTTAATAAATTGTATAAGAATAAAATCAATATTCATGATCGCTTATAAAAATGATTTTTAACAACAAGAAAAGTTTTTTTTTTTGTCTTTTTAATTATAGGGTTTATTTATTGGTATGATATTATATATTTTCTTAACTATTGTTGGTTTAACAAACGGTCAATTAACTGGTATTCATTTTACTATGAATACTATAATATTAATTGGATGTTTAAAGTAAATTTATTGTATGTTTTCTTTTTCTATGTTTATAATAAATTTTTATTTTAGTGGATTTCGTCGAGCAATTAAATGTATATATCATGCATTCCATGCACGACAATTTGTTCAAAAACATCAATTATTACTTGATCGAGCAGCTCATCATGGAGGTATTGGTGTTGCTTTACCTGAAGAATCAAAAAATGGTATACCACATGGTTGTGGTTTTGAATATCCAATTCATTCAATTATATTTATTATTAGTCTTATTGGTATTATTTATCAACAAAAACTCATTTAATTATTTCTATTTTTTGAAATTAGTAAATAATTCAACAACACAAAATTATATATATATATTTTTTTTTTTAATGACTTATTGTTGAAATCAAAATAAATAACTAAGCTGATGAATTTTTCGTTCTATATGTCTACTTTGATAATATAATTCATATCAGTAAATCTAAATCGATTAAAATGATATTATTACTTAGTTTTATCTAAGCAAAAATGTCTTTAAATATAATTAGCAAATGAAACTTTGAACGGAAACCTTTGATTGCTTTTTTGACAGCAAACACTAAATTTCCCTAGTGATTAGTTTATGTCTTGTTTCTTTTTTTTCTCTGCATTCAATAATAAATACTAAAGAAGAATGGCTTTCGAACACGAACAGTATTTTTCTTTTTGTTTCTGAAGAATTCTATCTATTCATACATGTATATGGCTTTTTACTTTGTTTCTTTTGCTTTTTTGTTTTTATTTTTTTCTTAAATGGTAAACGTTAAAAGGAAACAAGACATAGAATTGCCATGATACGAGCATTAGTTGGACTATTTTAGGTAAAAGAATGAAAAAAAAAAATTGAAATGCAATGCGATGTTTGAAGGTAAATAGCAGAAAAAAAAAGGAATAATGTGGAAGCAAGTAAGACTCCTGTTTTTCTTCTTTTCATCATCACCCATTACGGTAGGGATGTTTAAGCTTGGCACATTTTTTGACAAATCATTTGACACTCAGATTTTGTTTTTCTTTAATATGATTTACATTGTCGAAGCGATCAATAAATTACCTTTTTCATTAGAAATATATATAAACATATATGTTATTCTTTAATCTTATCGATCATCAAATAAACAAAAAGAAAAAAAAACACAATATTTATTTATAATTTACTCGATTGTATAGTATTTTATACCTTACATGACAAATCTAATGAAAATATAGTTAAAAAAAAAGATACGTGTTAATATAAGGAAATAAAAATGGTCTATAAAATATATTTCGATAGTCTAAAAGAACGTTATATACAAAATTGAATCCATGATTTTACTTGACTAGAAAAAGAAAAAAAGAACAGAGAAGAAAAGAAAAGGAAACATCTAACGATGTTTACTCATACTTTTGATCATGCACGTTGTATGGACGAAATATAATGTCATGTATTGATTATCAACCTCCGCTTTATTTTCGCAATATATACTCAATTTCTTCTACCTTTTTTTTATAATATTTACTATCATTACTTTATCTTTAGAGAATCTAATGAGTTCACAAATCATGACACAATCACAAGATGCTTATTTGTCTACTATGACCGATGAAGAAATTGAATTATTGAAAAAACTTGAAGACGAGAATCGGTAACCAAATATTATAATTTTTTTTTTCTTCTTCTTCTTTTCATTTCAATGTACTTCAATTTTCTATTGTGATGTTTTTTTTTCTTTTTCATTTAAAGGCGTATTGAATATGATTTAAAATCAGCCGCAAGCGCAATTCTCAAACCTCTCGTCAATAAACGTTCACCTGAATTACATCATAAACAAGGACGAAAAGATTCAATTTCCAGTGATTTGAGTAATTTAACAATTGATAGTGATGGTATAATATATTTGAATAAAATTCAAAATTTTTTTTTTTTTTTTTATTGTTTCTTTTAATAAATAAATATTTATTCAAGGTAATCTTGACAATGAATGGGTTATATGGAATAAATTGGTTAATAATTGGCCTGTATATATGAAGAAAAAATCAATATGGATCAAAGTAAATTTAATTATCTAAAAAAATTAGATAATGATGAAATTGATTTTCTATTGTTGTTTTTTTGTTTTATTTGTAGGATTTAATACGATCTGGTGTTCCAATTCATTTTCGTCCATTACTTTGGCAATGTTTAAGTAAAATTGATACAACAAATGTTAAACAAAAATATGCGGAATTAATGAAAATGTCATCACCATGTGAAAAAGTTATTCAAAGAGATATAACAAGAACATATCCTGAACATCAATTTTTTAAAGAAAAAAATGGTCTTGGACAAGAAAGTCTATTTAATGTAATTAAGGTTAGAGTATAAACGATTATGATTCAATAAAAAGAAATTATTGATTTGTTTTTTGTAGGCTTATTCTTTATATGACCGGGAGGTTGGTTATTGTCAAGGTATTGGTTTTATTGTTGGTCTTCTACTAATGCATGTCAGTTCTATAAAAAAAAAGACAAGATATTTTGTAATATTGAATGTTTTCTTCTATGTATGATAGATGCCTGAAGAAGAAGCTTTTGCCGTATTGGTGTCAATAATGCAAGATTATTCAATGCGTGAAATGTATAAACCTGACATGTATTATTTAGGTCTTTGTATGTATCAACTTGAATGTTTAATCCAAGTATGTTATTTATTGATAGTATCATTTTGATAAATTATTATTTTTATCAGGAAATCTTACCTGATCTTTATCGACATTTTCAATTAGAAAATTTTCATACATCAATGTATGCATCAAGTTGGTTTTTAACGTTATTTACAACACACTTTTCATTAAATATGGTTTGTCGCACAATGGATTTATTTTTAAGTGAGGTAGATTATACAATAGATGAAGAGAAAAAAAAAAAAAATTAAAATATTTAACATTGTTCATTTTTGTATATTTATATTTATATATATATATATATGAAGGGTATGGAAATGATCTTTCGTATTAGTATCGCTCTACTTGAAATTCATCAAGATGAATTAATGCTTTTATCGATGGAAGATATGCTTAAGGTAACCTTTTTGAACATTGTTTCGAAAGAAAAGAGTAACTTACATATGCATACGTGCATGTCATAATCAATCGAGCAGCTATCGTCATTTGTATATGTATAGCCCATCCTTTCTTCCCCTTTTTTTACGAAGACGTAATAGATGAGTCGGCGGCGATAGACTGTGCGTCAGCTGTTTGTCATATCATTGTATGTATTCTTTCTTCTTTTACACCTTTTCTTTTCTTTTTTTTTTTTAACATAGGAGATATTTTCTTTTCAAAACGAAGTGTAGAGATTTGTAAGTAAAAAGAATAAATCTAATAATGATCATATGAATTTTTCTATATATAATATATTATATTATGTGTATGTGCACACTCAATCAAGTCAGTTGTATATGTGTACGTATAAGTTTCGACTCATCGAGGTAGAGAATAAAAAAAAAAAAAAAAAGTGAGAGAAGGAAAAAAAAATAAGAGAAGAAGAAAAAGAGAGAATAAAATGACACCATCGCTGCCGCAATGATTTCATGTTGTATGAGTATATGTGTGCGTTTTGTTCTGTCCAAACGAGGGTGGAGACATTTGCAACTCACAAAAAAAAACCCGAGAGAAAAAAATAGGCATCCGCATCCATTCTTGTGTTTCATCAACATACATTGATTTATACGTATGGACCGGCGTTTACATGCTGTCCAAGATCGTCTAGCCGAACATTGTGCGCAAACATTAAAAACTGTTCAAGGTTCTGTATCTGCGGTTACATCCGTAAGTTTATATAAAATTGGTAGTTTAAAGAATTTTTTTTGAAATGACAACAAAAAAGAAAGAACTTGAAATATTTGTTTTTGTAATCAGTGAGAGAAAAAGACATTCATTTACATAATGGTAATGTACTCTCAATCACAAGGTGATAAAGAAGTCATTGAACATTGTGTACATATTCAACGTTCAGAATTTATTTCTATGATTAAGTGATTCGTTTTTGTGACCTTGTGTCTTTAAATAAGGACACTGTTAGTTTCATAAGATATCAATCAAATTACTAAACAATAATAAAATATGATTAATCAATCTGTCATTAATTATATATATTATAGTATTTTCAAAAAGAAATACCTATTAAACATGAAACAGATCATGAATCATTATTTCAACGTGCATTTTCATTTGATTATAACAGTAAAAAAATGAAAAAGTATGTAAATGTTTACAATACATTGATAATATTAAATTTATTTTGAAAATATTTTTCCCTCTTTTTTTTCTCTTTTTTTTTAAAATATTAGATTAGAAAAAGAATACACTGTTATTCGTAAAGAAGAACAAGAAGAACAAATCGAAATACGTGTATGTGCTTAAGAGTTATTACTTTGTTTTGCATGAATCACATTCGTTTTTCGTTATTTTCTTTTCTTTTTCTCTTTTATAGAAACTACGAAATGAAAATCGTTTATTAAAGCAACGAGTTGAAAATTTAGAAAAAGTAAAGATTTATATATTTATTTTCTTTTTTTTCTTTTTTGGCTTTTGTTGAATGAATCAAAATAAAACACTTGTTATATGTATTTTATTTTTTTTTCATTATTTAAAAAGGAAAGTCTTACACTTGCCAATCGATTAATTGAAGGTCAAGTATTGAATGCACAATATGCTGAAGAATCTTATCAAATAAAACGTGAAAATTCTAATTTAAAAAAACATATTGAAGATTTAATTCATTTAAATAATCATGATACAAATATTCAAACAAAAAATATAGATTCATCAGATTTTCTAGTTAAATCCAATGATAATGAATTAGAAGTTTTACAAGAAACAGTCAATCGATTAAGTGATGTAAGTTTATTAAAAGACAAAAAAAAAGATTTTCTAGTGTTATATAATAATATTCATTCTAATCTTTATAAAAAAAAAGGAAAATCGTCGTTTACAATCAACACCAATTTCTGAAATAGCATCATTACAAGAAGAATTAACTCTTGTAAAAATGCGTGATGCTGAAGCTCAAGTAAATTTAAATGAACTTCGACAACGTATAGCTGATCTAAATCGTGAATGGCAATTACATGATAGTACATGTCGAATAAATCGTGAAACACATAAACAACCAACTAATGATGCTTATGATTTAATAGCACATGAATTAATATCATTGAAAATGCGTGAAGCTCAAGCAGATTGTGATAATAAACTTCTTTCACAAAAACTTATGGATATCGAAACACAAAAACAAGTTTTACATAATCAAATTAAAAGACAAGATGATGAAGTACAACGAATTCGTCTTGAACTTGATGAATGTCGAATACGTGAGAATGAATTACGTACACAATTACATGAAATTAAAAATCAAATGCATGATGGAGAATTAAGAGTAAAATAAAATAAAACAAAATCAAAGTTTTCTTTGGTTTTTTTTTTCTTATAGTATTAATTTTTCTTTTAGCAAAAAGAAGATTCAATGATGTTACGTATTCGTGAAGCAGAAAGTACTCAAACAATGGGTGATTTACGTCAAAAAATTGCTGAACTTGAAGTTCAAGTAAAATTTTAATTTAAGAATATTTTTAAATATATTCGTTCTTTTGAATCATAGAATCAAGAATTAATAACGCGTAGTCAAATTATGGATGATAAAGATTTACAAGAAAAACTTCTTGAACTTCAAGATGAGGTTTGTATTAAATTTTGATTATATAATCAGATTAAGGATAATTAGTTATTTTTTACAGTCAAATAATCAAAAGAATTTAAAACGTAGTTATTCAGTACCTATAAATTATCAGATTTTATCATATACTACAAAGTAAAATGCTAATTTGCTAGTTAATAATATAACTTTATTATTATTATTTTTTTTTTTTACAATAAAAAATTAATTGTTTTTTTTTCTTCTTCTATTTAATATTTATTATTATTAAGGTCATGCGTTTGCGTTTAATACATACATTAAATCGTAAACAATCAATATCAACAGATCATACTCGAATAGATTATGAAGATAGTGAAGATGAAAGTCTACCTTCATCATCATCTAATAATGAAAATCATCGTTTAAGTTCTTCTGTTGGTATTTATTCAAATTCAACTAAAGAATCTAATCATCGTCTTCGTCAATCAACACCTTGTCTATTTCAATCAACAACAAATAATAATACAATAACACAATGTATGAATTCATCGACTTTACTTTTATCTTCTAAATTATCATCATCTACAAATAAAATAAATGTCGAATGAATAACATTGTGGTGCTTCTTTTTCTTCGTCTTTTTTTTTTTGTTGTGTAAATAATTTTCTTTTTTTTTATTATTGCAATATATGCTATTGTAATTTTTTATTTCCGAAACTCAATGCCGGTTTCATGAGAATAAATGAAAACAAAAAAAAAAAAAATTACAAAAAAATATTTTTCAATTGTTTATTTTCTATTGTGTAGTTAAATTTGTTGTTTTAATAAATAGATTTGACGAACAATTTGAACAGTAAGCATCATTATTATATTCAATATAACGTTGATTTCCTAATGGTATAGAACAATGTGTACATACGAAACATTCCTGATGAAATGGATGATTATGATAGACTATACCATCGTTTGCAATTGCCTATGAAATAAATAAAATGATTCTTTATTTAATTTTTGGAAGTTTTTTGAACTTAGCAGGCTCTAGAATTAAGTCGTATTGCTCTTTTCTCTCTTTCCAAAGATAGTCGATCCGTTTTGATAATGCATGATGCACTTCAAATTAGTGTAGCTAATGGTGATCGGACCGGGGAAGAATGTAAAACTCCCAGTCGATCTTCAATAGAACTGAAATGTACAAGAAATATATTCTTCCGTTGCGAATCTAGATGAGTTTGAGATCCTATTAAATGTAACGTATTTTGTTGTTGAAAACAAAGATTTATTCAAAATAATTTCTCAAAATTTAAGTATCTTTTCTGGTTACTAACATCCATTTACTGATGTTTATATTATTTTTTCCTTCAGTAGTTATGTGAAAGTTTGTCTGAAATTTGAAAGATGGAAGTATAGAGGAATGTTTGTTTTTTGTTTTATGGACATTTAGATTTTAAATCTGAAAGACATAATTGTAAATTTACTTAAAAGAAAAAACAAAATCAAATTAGAAGCCGATTTTTTGGTTCGTAACAAATTGCAAAGAAGATCGATCATTTGGTTTCACCTATTAAATATTACTTAATTGGACATGACTTTTCTTTTTTTTTGCTTAAAATAAATTTCGAATATATATCATCGTTGATGCATTCATGAGAATAGTAAAAAAACAAAAAACAAAATCATAAAACAATGATTCATATACAATTAAGTAGTCTTATTTTAATACATGCACACAGAAGACATGATAAATTTTCGAGAAGCAATAAATTCCCTATTGCATCTCGAAACCTTTGTAGGAAATAAATAATTGCTATTTTTTTATAGTGTTAATGCCTTGCACATGATTAATTCAAAAGTTTATTAGAAAATACTTCTAATTGTTAAATATAGATTCTATTTCATAGCATTCTTAATAATGTTTAGTTTCGTCATCATAACATACTTGTCTATACTACTAAACAAAATGCGTCATTTTTTTGATTATTTTTTCAAACAGTTATTATTTCAAATTATACTTATATTATCAATATATATCTTGTGATTTTGTTTATTCTCAATATTTTAATTATTAATAGAAAAAAAATCCATTGAGAAAATTACAAATTATATCTTATGTAATTTCGTGTAATTGTAACAGAAATTAGTTATTTGTCATGCTTTTTTAATTTCTTTTTTCTCTTACAGTTACAAAAAAATTATATGAAACCCAAATTGTAACTATCTCAATAGATTCTTGTTATTGATAATTGAAATTTTTTGCAAGAAACAAAGTCTCAAGTTATGTATTGTTAATAAAAATATGAATTAGAACAACAATAGTCTAGAGAAATAATCTATAATATTCAAGCTTATGTTTACTATTCACAAGAGAATAGATCAATGTGTAAATTTAACCTTGATATATATTCTATATTGAAAATTTAAATATCTCAATATCTTGTAATATAATGAAAACAAAAAATGCTATTTTTACAAATTCTAGCCTTATCAAAATCTTCTTATGGATCGAACAACAGATTAGAAAATCAAAGATAAAGATTTAATTTTATACTTTGTGACATTTGATACAATAAATAGCGATAATATTCATATAACATGAAAGACAAAAAATATATTGATCGCGATATCGAAAATTTTCATTAATTAATTGTTTTTGACAAACATTACATATAAAACAAGATTTATGATATAAATTTTTATCATATTGTATACATTTATCACCTAATAAAGATTATTTGAATGCAAAACAAAACAAACTTTATTTTATTCAAAAAAAATTTTCTACCCGGTTCTAATGATCGATTACAACGATAACATCGTTGAGCAAATTCATCAATAAAACAATGACGACAATATAATTTATTATTTTGATAAGCAAATTTCTTATTTATTAAAGATAAATTACAAATAGAACAATTAAAACAAGTATTATGCCAAGTTTTATCTTTAAATATACTTCCCTAAACAATGAAAATGAAAAAAGAAAATAAATATATTAATATCTGATTGTTTATTTTTTACTTGCATTTCAATACCAATAATTTGATTACATTGAAAACAATGATTAGAATATTTTTCTTCAAAACAAAATAAACAAATAGCAAAATTATCTTTAATTACATAACGATTATTTAATAAATTTTTTTCACAAAACCAACATACAAATGAATCTGAATTATGTTTAATCATTAAATTAATATATTAAAGATGCGCTAAAACATATTTTTATATAATAAAAAAAAAAACTTGTCTTAAATAACATATTCTTTAAATAAATAATCACATTACAGATTAATTGATTACAATATTTTTCATATATCTTTAATAAACTATATTTGAGTGATGGGATAACAAAAGTTAAATATATAAGTTTTTGAATCTCAACAAAAATTCTACATTTGTACGAGTTTTGAATAAAAGTACTATTTGCATTGATATCAATGATAAAAATATGTTCACACTCCATATCCATAAAAATAGAACTAAAGATAACTTTTTTTTAAGTGTATCACCCTTGACTTCAATAAAACAAAAAAAAAATTATATTTTTCATAGATAAAAAACAATATAAGATGAAGAAGAGTCAATTTATCAAAATAACATCTAAATATTTAAATGATGTTTTGATTATAATGTATTGTTCGTTCATATATCTTTCCTCGTATGCTTTTAATCATATTCATAACTCAAAACAAGAGTTACACGATAAATATAAGATAAAAAAAATCTAGAACAGACAAGAACACAAAAAACAAACGTGAACAAAACTGGTAGATATATATGTGACTAACAATATACAAGGAAAAAAAAGATAATTAGGTCTCGTTTCGTCGAAAAATAAAATCGCACTGAAAACGATGAGAATAGTCTATTCTGTTTAATTAGAATTTTCTTAAAAATATTAAACAAAGATAATGCTTAATAATACTGTATGATGTTTTTTTTCAAAACGCTTATTAAAGAGAAGTATTTGTACGCATACAGAAGATATCAGAGAAGAAAAGATGTGTAGAAAAAACACAAAAGTTAATATTTCTTTTTTGCACTAAATAATCCCATAATTTTTTCAAGACGGCTTTCTTATGTTAATGTTAATTGTTTAGAGTGACTGTAGATCAGGGCTCCGAATGGGCCGGCCCATGGGCCGTCATGGGCCGAAAGTGTTTTGGAAATTACTATGAGACAAAAACGGTTGAAAAGTTTTTTCGATAAGATTCTATGAGACACTAGCTCTGTGGTTTCGTAGAAACGGCATTTTTAAAAGTAGGTTGTTTTTGTCAAGAGTCAGAGCTCTCTTTCGAAAATTTTTAGTGTTTATAGATTCATATGTGTAAAAGTTTTCAAAAAAAGAATCGTAACTGTGAAAAGGAACGACCTAGTTCAAAAAACGCAGTTCCTACGAAACCACAGAGCTAGTGTATCATAGAATCTTATCGAAAAAACTTTTCAACTCCTTTTGTCTCACAGTAATTTCCAAAACACTTTCGGCCCATGACGGCCCATGGGCTGGCCCATTCGGAGCCCTGCTCTAGATGTAGCATTCAGCGAACCGCATACCTTTGTCTACACTCACCCTTAATCAATTTGTTGAGAAAGAATATTATTTAAGAATAATCAAAGAAATTAAGTTATTTACTTTGTTCCTGTTTTTTTTTTGATGAAACGGGAAAATCAATGGTAACCTCTCATTTCCGAGCATAAACAAAAAAGAATTTAGTAAATTGGAAGGCCACACCAACACTTACACCCTTGGATTTGGGACACTCTAGACTTGGAATTGAATTCATTGAAATTTGACTAGCGATTATCTTTTAAAATATTTTGAACCACTAAAAATAGTCTATTTTACTTCTTTTTATCAATTTCTCTGACTAGATAGATCGAAAGATATGAGCTTGGAATTATTCAACCAACAAAGAACTAGTCATCATTAAAATCCTTACTCTAAATATTGAATTCATAGGTTCTCATCGTACGTTGTGTGCCTCAAATTATGGCGAACAATTTATTATGACCATGAAAAATTATAGTCAACTATCAAAAATGAAGATTATTTACCTCAGAATGTTGACTTCATTTATATGAAGTATAGTACAAAATCATATACGTTTTATATTGGATTTTTTGTCCTGATCAGCGTTAGTATCCTTTTACGAATTAATTATAAAATCTTGAGCTGTATTAAATATAAGTAGTTTCAGAGACGAATTAAGTCAAACTCATCCATTCTTGAAAAGAAATCACATATCGGAAGAAAAAAATTTAGTAAAACAATCTAAAGATATTGTTTAATATCAGTCATTGTAAAATAATAGATGAAAGATTTTCATTGAATTGCTTTTTAACTTTCTTAATATTAACATAGATATAGCAATTGGAAACTTAAACAGGTAGATGAACTTTATATTATATCACTTTATAGAACAATAGTAATAAACTTTTCTCAAAATAATAAGCTAGTTGGATCATTACTAATTATGTCAAATAGATTGTTTTTTTTTCATTAGTTTAATGCTGTACTTGAGCTGGTCGATTTTAACGAAATATTTTGCGAATAAAAATCGAGAATTTCAACAAGTTTACCGTATTCAGTAAGAAAAATCCTAGCGTTATCAAGTATCAATCATCCGTGTGCTTTTATCATATCGTCAACATTCATTAGAACTTCATTTTATGGTCAAAGTTTTTCATGCTACAGCTGTTGCCTTTTTATTACGCACAAAAGAAAAAAATCCTGTGTCACCAACTCATTACTAGTCTTAACCGATTCTTTTTTTAACATTTCTAATGTTTTGTCATAATGACTGTTTTTTTTTCATGAGGTCTACTTTAACACATATATATATATATTGTCAAATGTGAATCGAAAAACATATTATTCTTTTATGTTTTTTTATTGTTGAATTGATCTATTAATGAAGTTGAATATTTATGTGCTGTATTTATTGCTTAATTGTATTGGTATCTACGGATTTATACCACATCCATTGATTGCATACGGTGCACTATCTAGTACTAGTAAATATTGTTTTAAGTCATTCATATATAAATACTATAATAATTTTATTTTTTTTTATCAAGGTATAACACATGCAGAAATTACTCAAATTGCTATCATGCAAAGTCTTACTCGATTCTTTTATGATACACGTATTACTTTAAATAATAGTAATATAAGTTCAGTGAATGAAGAAGAATATTTGACTGCAGAACATACTATTGATGATCTTTATAATTTAGCATATCCTGAATATAATGAATTACGAGTAGCATTTTATTCACTTCCAATAAAATTTGTTGTTGATGATATAATTACACAAAATGTTCTGACAGATTTTAATGATAAAACAAAAAAACTTGCAGCAGCACATTTTGATAATGAAGCATTTATTAATGCTAGTAAACGTATTCTTCAATTTAGACAAATAAGTAATATAATATAATATAATATATATATTAATTTAGTAGACATGATTATCTTTATGTTTTATTTAGTCATCAATAATATGCAATATACTAATCAAGATTTATCTTATGAACGTGAATTACTTGGACAATTAATTCATACATTACAAGATTTTTATTCACATTCGAATTGGATTGAAATGGGTAAAACTAATATCAATGAGTTTATTGGTGTCAATGAAACTATTGGATTAATTGCTCAACCAAATCAGACAACATGTACAAATAACGGTTGTACAAAAATAGAAACACCCTGTGTAATTCAATTCAGATTTGATGACTTAATAATTTATGTTTTCTTTTAGAATCTTTGGCAAGAAATTACTGTAGGTGTTTGTCCACTTGTGTATTATGAATGTAAAAATAATATTCTACCAGAAATCAATGATCAACAATTACTTACAAGTGGTTATACTACAAATGATATGAATGAAAATAATGAAATAATTCAAAAACCAACAAATGTTGAAAAATGTTCTCATGGTTCCGTACTTGATGATTCATCACATATACCAGCTATTGGTGGAATCAATAAAGATTCATATAGTTTAGTCTATTCACCTCATGCTGATCTTCAGTAAGTGAATAGATCGCATTTGAAATTCTACAATATTGAGTCTAAAGTCATGCTGTAACTATTGAAATATATTTATTTATTTTTTTTTTCGTTTTCTATATTCTAGTAAAAAAGCAGCTGATTTAGCTATAAAAGCAACGGAGCGATTTCTCAATGATTTACGACAAGATCTAGGTGATAAAAATTTCGATCGTCTTTTTGTCATTAATCCAACTGAAACACAATGTCAAATAGAATGGGATTCTATGTCTAAAGGAAAACGATTTCGATTTTTTTCATCTGATCTTACAGCTTATATAAAAGATGATGGTCGTTGGTTACTAAAATTAAAAAGATTTTTCAGACGTTTATTTAGATTAATCAAATCGATATGGATACGTATGTTTACTAGCAAAGAAAATATTAATCAACCAACGTATGACCTGAGTGACAAAGGAGTAAATGTAAAAGATGTCAATAATTTTCGTGCTGCACCATATGTTATTGGAAAAGAAGAGTTAAGACGTAAGAAACGTATGATATATCTTGCACGTAAACGTCGATATTTATAAAAACTTCTTTTTAAACATGTAACCACTTTGAACATTTCTAATAATGAATATCATTATGATCTTTATATCAAAGTGTAATCTATTTGAAAATTTTCAAATAAAAATACCTAATAAAAATACAATTTGTATCAAGTGATGAACTAAAAGAGAATTTTTTCATTTAAAATCATCATTAGATTATTTTCTACACGTACGATAAGCAGCTTCGAAGCAGAGATGTCCATCGCGGTTGAAAACTGACCGCTGCCGCGCCGCGACGATAAAAGAAAAAAGCTAACGCGCCGCTACCGCGGTGATAAAAACAGAAAACCTACCGCAACGCCACCAAAAATAACCATGCCGCGATGATTGTTAGAATAATGTTGTGAATTTTACGATCTGTGACTGTTCAGAACTAGAGCTGTTGTTACCAGAGATGGACAAAATCGCACCGCGCTTTCCCGCGCCGTTGCTCACGCCTACGCTACACTAGTCTGAGCTTCGATGAGCGCATGCTTAGAGCATCCCGGTATTCGGTGGAGTTTGAGAAACTGATTGGTAGAGCAAAGAGAAAGAGAGATGTGCGTAGCGCCTAGACGCGAGCAGTGGCGCGGGGAGGCGCGGTGCGATTTTGTCCATCTCTGGTTGTTACCAATCGATGAGATTCGTTGAATCTCATAGTTTTGCACTTGCAAACATTGAAATTCTGTTCAAATTCATGCATTTTTGCATTGTTCTCCAAAAAAAACCTACCGCTACCGCGCCGCTGCTGCGATAGTTAGTTAAAAAAACGACCGCTGCCGCGCCGCACCGCGATGGTTATTTGAAAAAAACAGCCGCTACCGCGCCACCACCGCCACAGCGGCAGCGGTCGCGCCGCGATGGACATCCCTGCTTCGAAGACATATTAAATTCATCTACAGTATTGTTTAGGGTGTGGATGTGGTTGTGAAGTGACCGTCGATTTTGACAAAGCTAAAACTCAAACTCACAGCTAAATCCACATACCTTCAGCTACACATCCATCCACACCAACAATTTTTCACTTTCATTAGAATTCTTAGTAGGTAAGCCTAAAGAAAAATCTTCATTCAACAAACACCTAACGTTGTCTTTAAGTTGTAGCTATACTACTAAAACTAAGAACATTCTCTTATCAAAAAACTTACATTCTCTACAAATTGCAGCAAACTTAGTTCTTTAAAAACAATTTACGTCCAATATATGTTTTCAGTAATCAAATTTTTAAAAAAATTAACTTTAAACTTAAATCATTTGACAAAAATTTTAAAAAAAGAATTTCTAATTTACTAAAATTTTTTTGCTTATGCTTGCAAATGAGAGAAGTAGGCAGTTCTTCTTCGTCGTATAAAAGATTAACTCAATCACTCGAATTGTAGCAGAGACATTGAATTATTTCTCGATGAAATGACTATTGGATTACCTTATATATGTACATATAGTATTATTAATAAAACAATCTACTATGATTTGAAGTTTATGATAACTATAAAATTTTATATAAATGTCGATAAAAATAATATCTATGTTTTGTATCTAGACATTGAAAAAAATCTAAATGTGATCTTGTCTAGTTTTTATAAGCTTCATCTATGATGTCTCTTCATCTTTATTTTATCTTGACTTTTATAAACTCATCGTGAAACTTTCATAGTTTATTGATTCTTGATGAAAAATCTTTTTCTTTATTTAATTCGAATATCTGATAATATTCTTGAAATAAAAAGTTTTGATTATTATTGAAAGAGAAAAATTATTTGAAAATAAAATCAAAAATAAAAATGATTTTAAACGATCAAACTGATTTCTACAAATAATCTAGAACAATTTTTTTTAGTTCTTTTCTCTCTCAATAGTATTTTATAATTAGTTTCATATATAATTATTAATGAATTTTCAAGACAATAACAGGATGATTCCATATAATTTTTTTTTTCAAATAACTTATTATGATTGTTCTAATTAAAGAGTCTTTGATGTTATTATTATAGCATTATATCATTCTTTTTTTGTATTCATTATAATTATCACGTATTCAACATAGTTTTACTTATTGGCCTATATATTTTTTTTCATTAACTATGATCATTAAAAACGTAGCAAAAAAAAAAATATTTTTTCAACCTTCTTCAAAAATTATAATAACTTCTTTGGAGAACACTCAAAATTATAATTAAACAGTCAGAGAACTATGAGTGACATTGCTCAAAATCTTTTTCAATCAATTCGTTGGCTTAATATTATTATTGGTATACCCTTATTCGTATTTGGTACTATCGGTAGTATTTTAACAATATGCATATTTAGTCGAACTAAATTTCGTAATACATCATCTGTTCGTTATTTAATAGCTAGTTCCATAGCTAATTTTATTCAACTTGTACAAACACTTTTACCACGTATACTTACTGATGGATTTGCAATTTTACTTGTAAAATCGAATACAGATTATTGTAAAGCTCGTAATTATATAGCAGCTGTAGCAACATTATGTTCTTTATCTTTTCCATGTTGGGCATCATTTGATCATTTTGTTAGTACATCACGAAATGCTAATAGACGAAAATATTGGACATCAAAAATTTTTGTTTATTTTGCAATATTTAGTACGATTTTATTTTGGCTTATTATTCAACTACCAATAGTTATCTTTAGTAAAGCTAATGGAGAATCTTGTATTACAACTAATATTATCAGTACTTATATTTATGCATATGGTGTTACTCCAATGGCATATACAATATTACCTATGGGAGTAGTTATTTATTTTAATATTGGTATTGTACGAAATTTACGACAATCAAGATTTATTGGTATAGTTCATATAAATAATCGTTTAGTAAGACAAGTTCGACGAATGTTAATACCTCAATTAATTATTCTTATTTTATCAGGAATACCATATAGTATTCAAACAATTTATTCAGTAGCAACAATATTACAAAAAAAATCATATCTTCAATTAGCAATTGAAAGTGTTATTCTTAATATAGTACGACTTTTATTTTATTTAAATTATGTATGTTCATTTTATATTTATTATATTATGTCAAGTGAAATTCGACGAGAATTGAAACGTTTATTTTATCAACACAATTCAATATTACCAGAAAGAACAACAGCTTAAATTTTCAAATATTACTCAAAAACATGTTTAAAACACACACACACATGGAAAAATTCTTTTTTTTATTTGTCGTATTTAGTTTTGTTAAAATCTAACAAAATATGAAATCAAAACATAATAAAAATAAATAATACATATGTAAAAAATTTTCTTCTAAGCAACATTTTAATTTATTAAAAATATTTTCAAAAGTTTAATATTTTTTACTTGGTTGATATAGAATTACTTTGTGTGAGACTCAAATATATGAGTGACGAATGGGTCAATTGTACCGTTTGGGAAAAAAATCGAAAAAAAAAATAAACTTAATGATAAAGGAAAAATAAGTGTTTAATAGAGCGATGTCGAATATGTATAAAAATAATATTTTCTAAGCACTTTCATGTATTGTGGTGAAGATTCATGATATTGCAGTCAATTTCTATATGCTCTAACAGTCTAAGTGTATAAATTATGTCGACTAATGTCACTCAGCACTTTATCAGTAAAACTGAAGTTTCTCTCGAATGAAAAAAGATTTTTTGCTTGAGTTTTTGGAATATTTATCTACCCTACGAGATGAAAAAAGGATCAAATTATGGTTTAGTGTTTTCATTGAGTTATAGCAATGACAACATTGAAAATCTCGCTCTACATTTAGCGTGAACACAATTTTTTTTAAACTTCACATAAAACTTTTCTATTAACGAAGTTTATGAGACAAACTTTTTTTCGTATCAAAGTGTTCCCCCCATATTTCTCTTTGATACCCAATCAAATTTGTTCAAATGAAATTTCTTCAAACGGGGAATACCAATGGTATCAATCTCGCTGAAAATATCTTAACGCGCATTGTCGATAGCTTTTCATTCATAAAACTTTGTCTAAAGCAAAATGTAATAACATATGCTGAAAGCGCCTAACAAGCTCTACAGTTCTAGCTAACAAAATTGCAATAGGATAAAGAAAAACTGATGTTGCTATGATATCTCAAAAACTAAAAGAGATGGAAACCTGATTTTTTTTTTCAGAAGTGAATGGTCATCTCTACATCTATAAAACAAACAAAAAAAACAATTATCAAAATCGATTGAGTGAAACTGGACTTATAGATATTTTGCTTTGCGAGACCTAACGGTAAATTGGCGCGCTCCTTCACTCATATATTAATTGAAGTTTTGGCATCTTTCACCATAGACTCTAGCAATTAGGACGATGGTCAACGATCGTTGAATACATTTCCATAGCAACTGAGAATAAATGGCGTCTAATTCTTCTCATAGACTTCATTAATAATAGAAAAAAAAAGTACTGAACGATATCCGCAATAAGATTTAGAATATCCGAAAGTTTTTCTTGAAATTTGAATGGTTGAAATGTGTTTTTTTTTAAGTATTCTCTCCTATTACAATCAATTTTAAGATCAAATAAAGAACATTTTTGTTTTCTTATTGTAGTTAGTGCGTCGGCAATCTATTCATAAGAAATATCATTAGAGTTATTTTGTTCCTACATCCATTTTGATTGTTTTTGTAGTTTTTTTTTGTTTTCTTCTTTGTCATATCATGAAAAAGAAAATGATTTGAAAACAAAGCATTTTAATATATAGTTAATTATCATTAAACAACTATATCTTGCGTTTATTCCAAATGTTAAAGTATATTTTATTACAGAAAAAAAAAAGAAATTTATACAAAATTATCTATGCACTTTTATGAAATATGACATTTTCATGTTTCAACTCCGAAGAAGCTGTGCTAAAAAGGTTTTTTTTATAAGTTTTGCGCAGATAAAAATTTATATTCAAGATGTTACAGATGATGGGTAATCATGTATTAATTTGCCATAGTTGTCATATGATCATGTTTTTGAACTTGTCGAGATATATAATAGCCCGTTGAAACCTACTGTATAAAAAATGGATATGCACAACAAGCTTATTTATCAGTTAAATCAATAGTAAAAATGAAAACATATTGTAGTCGGTTACAGATTTTTCAATTAACATATATTTATTTTGTACAAAGAAAAGTTCTTAATCGAACTATGCCGTTTTCACTGATATTTTTCCATACATTGAAGCAATCTTATTCTATAAAAAAGCTTACAAAGATTCATACTGATTTCAACTCTTTCGTTAAATTTAAATGTTTTCATTCTTGTATTCAGGAATAACTGCGCTCTAAAAGAAGAAAAGCATATTTTTTCTTAATGAAAATTTTCAAAATATTCTAAGAACAATTATATCAATATTATTTCTTAATAAAAATGAATTACCACAAACTGGGTAATATATGATAAATGATACTCTAGAATATTACTAAAAATGTATCTTCCCGGTTGAACACTGGAGTAATAATTTATCGGACGATTGTAACAAAATAAGTAACGAATAGTATTTCAAAAATTATGAGAAAATTTTACTACAAAATTGATAATCTTGAAAAAATAAAATTTTCTCTATCTACACTAAATAGACTTCTTTCGAAAGTTCTATATGATATAAATCAATGAAGAAGTTCAGTAGTGAGTTAGATATATTTCAAAAATTTCAATGATGATGCAGCCATAGTTCGATAATCATGAATAAAGTTAATATATGTATGATAAGCCTGAACTTATGAGAAACTGAAATAATATTGATTATAAACTAAATATTTTCAAAGGTCATAAAATATCTCAAAGCAAAATAGATGCTTATCTAACAAAATGTGTTTTATAACACATCTATTCTTTTGACATTTAATTTCTATCGGTTTACTCTTTTCTTGTTTCTATTCTTACAATAGAATGGAATCGATATTACTTTCGTTCACTCAATAATATATTCAAAGAAAAGAAAAAGTCAAGGTTTAATGTCATTACATAATTTTTCACTGTCACGTAACCATTGAATCAATCAAACAAGTGATTATACATAATGATATGAACACTTAATGGATTAGAACATATCATTAATAGTATATTGAACAGATTAATATTTTATTTACAAAGTTCAAATTCTATAGAAATAAAAAAAATTTGAAATTCTAATCATAGTTTTATATAAAATGTTTGTTTTCTTATTTAATTTCTAATCCTATTTATGATATAGACATCTATTAAAACGCACAAAAAAGAAAAATCTAACAATAGTACATAAGGAAGTGTCATATTAGTATTAACATTTATTAATGGTAATACTTTGATATTACTTGATGTGCTAAGCTGTTAATAATAAATTAATATTATTTTTTGATTCTATTACAATCTATTACCGTTAACAAGGCTTCGGACACTTTGATCTGAAAAAAATTTCTAAAACTAAACAATTTTGTTCTATTTTTGTGAACGACACTTTTGAAATATAATAACAATTCTTTATAATCTTAATAAAAATTTTCAAAAGTTGAACTCTTAGAGATATAATCACAACTATCAATTAAAAATCATACTTAATTTTAAATACACTTGTGAAATTCATTGTTATAAAAGAATTTCTATAGTAGACATTCCTACGATATTTGTATTGAATTTTTATTAATATTAGACAACATCAAAGAAAAAGAAAAAAAAATATATATTTAGGATCAGTAATTTATTTAAACTTTTTTATTTTTTTGATTAAAATTAGTTGCATGAAATGCAAGATTTTCCCAATAGATTCTTTTCATACGTTGTTGTTCATGTGGAATATTTTGATCCGATGATCTGAACAATGATGAACTATCAATTGTTGAATCTAATAATAAATTTTGATATTGTCGTGTTGGCCAACGAACTAATATATATAAAACAAAAAAAAATTTTCCAAAAAAAACAAGCAACAATCTTTCTACATACATAAATAAGTAGCAGCTACTGAATGTGGTGTAAACATTCTTTGATTATCATCGAATTCTATTTGTTGTTTAGTATCGATTATAGGTAGAAAACAAAATGCAAGTATAAGGAAAGTATACATGATTATTTCTAGGAAATTTTGACTTTTGTTTTTTTTTTTTAGATCTAAATAAGAAATATAATAAAATAAAAATCAAAAAGGTCAAAATATAACGAGAAAAAAAAGTAAAAACTAGAAAATGATTATACTATTTGACATATAATAATTTAACAAGTTTCTATAGATCATAGAAAATAATGATGAAGAGGAAATCTTGTTTCAGAATATAAATCGCAATATTTTTTAGTTTAATACAGGAACATCCGACATCCGATTACATTTTTAAATATGTAATAATTGCTTTTCATTTTGATGATAAAAAAAGGAAATTTTTTTTCTCTTATAAAACGTATTGTTCCATTTTTGGCTTTTGTCCTAAATATTCTTTTATGAATATAATAATCATCATCGTTTTTTTGTAGATATCTTTGTAATAATATAAAAATATAAAAAACAACAGCAAAGGTTACCCATAATTGATACTTTGTGTTTAATATATTAGAAACCCAAAAGCACATCATCAACTTAGTGAAAATCATAAAAATTTATAAATGTCTGTAGATTGACATATGATATAAATCGGAAGAAAAAAGTAAGCAAGTTTTTTTTATTTAACATATTTTTTTATGCCCACGTAAGATGTTATGAGGCAATATTATCAAGCGTAATCATCATGATTGTATGATAAGAAGAAAAACTTCATTAATTTCTCGATAAATATTCAATGAATTCCCTAGTCAAACTTTTTGTGGCATGCGCATGAAAAACATGAACATCTTGAACAAGAATGTCATGCGCTATGGACACATCTTGAGGCCTTCGGTGAGTTCAAGTTCTTGAACTTCTTGTTCTATCGCTTGCCATTCTTGCTTATGCGATTGAATTTTTATCTAAGCGTTTCTGTTACTAAAGAAATTTTTCAATTTTTACGTTTCAAAATAACTCAACTTTTAATAAAAATCTATAGCTGGATTTTTTTTGTAAACTCATGCAAACACTCAAGCGCTTGTCTTGAGCAAGAAAGTCATGCGCTATGGACACATCTTGAGCTCAAGTCTTGGCAAGCGCTTGAATAAAAAAGTTCGACTAGGATTAAGTAATCATACAAATAGCTACAAGATAAAGTAATTTAGTCCAAACCAATTGTCATCTAGTGACCTCTATTACATCAAAATCTTTTTTATTGGAATTGAAGAAAGAATAATTTTATTTTTTTCAATTAAATAAAAAATTAATTTTTTTTTTGAATAAAATAATAAAAAATGTAAAATTATTGGTAATACAATTGTCAAAATCTCTATTGATCTTTACAATTGATACAGTAAATGTAATAAATCGAATTTATTTCTCACTTCGTTCAAGGTCATTTTGGTTTGTCATCATGGATTATCTTCAACCAACAAGTCAAAATTTTTCAAATGTAAATTTAAAATAAACTTTCTTTTTTTATCTTAGCATATATATATATATATTTTCCCTATCTTTCAGCGTCAAAATCGTTCAATAAATGATGCAGATAGTTTTGATACAGATCGTTTAAGTGGTTCATTACAATATTATGATGATCAACAAGATTCATCAATGAATAATGATCCACCTCAACCAATAATGGAATATGAAACAATAAAAAGAGATGATAAAAAATCCAGAAAAAAAGAAGTAAAATGAATTACAAAAGTTTTCTTTATTTATTTATTAAAATTTTTATTTTTTATTTATTTAATTAGGAAACAAATCAAAAACGAATACAACGTCAAAAAGAAAAAGATGAAAAAAAAGCACGTCAAAATGAAGAAAAAGAACGTAAAAAAAGTCAAAGTCGAACAAGAACAACAAATGAACAAGATATAAATCGATCATTAAATAATAGATCAAAAGCATGTATTGTTATGTTAGATGATACTGAACAATATATTGATTTAAAAGTAAATTCGAATATAGATTTGTTTTTTTTGTTGTGTATATATATCAAATTTTCTATTTTATAGAAAGATGATATTGGTAAAATATTTTATGAACGTGTATGTGAATTAATAAATCTTGAAGAAAAAGATTATTTTGGATTAACATTTATAAATAATGAAAATACTCGAGTTAGTTTTTTTTTCCAATATTGTTTAATAAAAAGACAAAAAAAAAATTTTTATTTTTATTGAATTATTAAAATATTTAGGCATGGTTAGATAATGATAAACGTGTATTAAGTCAATTGAAAGGTTAGAAAATATTTACACTTACGAGGGAAGGTCCCCAACTAATCAATCGCTTTTTTGTCGAGACTATGTGCATTATGTAGGTATGAATATCCTAAAAAAAGTTTGGGCTGCTAGCTTGTTAGTAGGAAGATACAGCACTTTTATGGTATGCTTTTAAATGAATGCCGTGGTCCCCCTCAGGAACACTAGAAAAATGATTTTCGAATTTCCACTTGAAACTTTATGTAGAAACAGACCTTACTAAGAATAGTATTTTGTGAAGGTTTCAGATCTTTTGATTTATTCCTATCCTGAAATGAGAGAATGAACTCTTCTGGTTTATCCGCATGAAGTTATCATATCTGTATCTACGGATAGCAATAGCAAAAAAGTCTGAAACTTTCACAAAATACTATTCTCAGTAAGGTCTGTTTCTACGTAAAGTTTCAAGTGGAAATTCGAAAATTATTTTTTTTTGGTGTTCCTGATGGGGACTACGGCATTCATTTAAAAGCATAGCAGTATCTTCCTATCAACAAGCTAGCAGCCCAAACGTTTTTTAGGATATTCATACCTACATAATGCACATCGTCTCAACGCACAAGCGATTGATCAGTTGGGGACCTTTCCTCGTTAGTAAAAAAACAAAAAAAGTATAAAAAAAAATACTTTTGTATTTTAGGTGTTGATCCAGTTTTTTATTTTCAAGTAAAATTTTATCCACCTGAACCTGCTTTACTTCAAGATGATCTTACTCGGTTAGTAAAACAATAGATCACAATAATAAGAATCGAAGACGCTGTCTAACCTTAATTAATTTTCCTAAAACTAAGATTATTCATTTCTTATTATTAAAAATTTCAGTCATGACTCGACCATAGAAACCGGATGTACCATATCCTACGGCTACAGAAAATCTTTATTTTTTCTCAGTAAAAATTGAAAAAAATTTTTTTTTTTACATTCTTTATGTTCAAAAAAAACAAAAAAGAAGTCATAACACTTCTTCCAGTTATTTCGAAAAACTTATTTCAAATTTTAATTACAATTTATTCGATCACAATCATATGTGTACGATCATTCAAAAAAAAAGAAAACTCATTGTAAGCACCACCCATCGATTTCGATGTCATAACGTTCATTTTATCACATAAGAAAAAGCCTCTATTAAATCGTATGTCTTCAGATCAATAATTGCATGTTTGAATAAAGCAAAAAAAGAAAAAAAAAACTAGGCAGATATAATAAGCATTTATTTTGTCCTTGTTATTACATACATTTGTGAACTATTATCTATTAATGGCACTTTTTTTTATAAGAGAATATATTTACTATAAAATGATTCGTTCAGTGTACAATAAGCTATATATATATATTTTAAGTATACTTAAGAATACTTAAGTATATGTTATAATTGATTTGTACAGTAAAACATTTTTTTCTTAAGGGAAAAAAAAAGAAACAGTTAATATCAAAGCTTGATTTAGAGAATAAAAGAATATTAATTTTTACAAAAAGATATTGTTAAACATATAGTGTTAAGATATCTAATGAAACCATCTCGTAAATTTTAAATTATTCTACTAACGTAGGACACTATCATAAATAAAATGTTCCTTCTATAGGATATTTTGCTTCAAGAAAAAAATCGAAATAAAGGGATATTGACTTGAAATTTTGCTCATAAATAGTTGATACACTTATTTAGATTATCCTGAAATTTTCAGCAACAATTGTTGTTTACTCTTGGAAATATGATATGTTGAAGAGAAACCGAATTTTGTGCGTTTTTTGTAAAAATGTTGCTGATTTTTTTCGGCATTCAATATCTTAATAACAAAACATTCGTTTTGACTGAACAGAATCCTATAAACTGATTAAGGACGAAATTTCAGATTGAAATTCTTTTCTTTCAAATTTTTGTAGGATTCAAAATTTCTGCTAAATGACGTTGTATAACTCTAAAGGAAGAACAAAGTAGCTTCGTTTTAGCTATAGTATGAACATATTGAAGTTTCATTATCTCTATTTTTATGATTATCTTCATTCTATTGCAAGCAAAATTTTCCTTCGACTTTTAAGAATTAATTTTATTATATGAATATTTTTATTTGAATTCTTTAAATAGATATCAAATATGTCTTCAAATACGAAATGATATTCTTTCTGGCAAGTATGTTAAACAATTTACTTATAAAAAAAAAAAACAAAAAAAAAAAAAATTTTTTTTTTTTCGTCTTTATCTTTAATAAAAGATTACCATGTTCATTTGTTACTTATGCTCTATTGGGTTCATATACAGCTCAAGCTGAATTAGGAGATTATAATGAATATGAACATGGACCATCATATCATTATTTAACAGATATTAAATTTGCACCTGTACAAGATGATGAATTATTACGACGTATACATGAACAACATAAACGACATAAGTATGTTTTATTTAAAATATTTGTTTTTTTTTTTTGTTTATGATTTTAATTCATAGAGGTCAACCACCAAATGCAGCTGATTTACATTTTCTTGAAAATGCAAAAAAATTAGCTATGTATGGTGTTGATTTACATCCAGCAAAAGTAAAATATAATATTTTAATAAATTATTTAATAAAAAAAAAAACAAAAATTCTAGGATTCAGAAAATGTTGATATTAATATTGGTGTATCAGCTAATGGTTTATTAATCTATCGAGATAAATTACGTATTAATCGTTTTGCTTGGCCAAAAATATTAAAAATTTCATATAAAAAACGATATTTTTATATAAAACTTCGTCCAAGTGATGTTTGTATTTGTTTTTTTTTTTTTTTACAAAATAAAAATTTTTATTTTTTAAAGTTTGATCAATATGAAAGTACAATAGGTTTTAAATTACCAACATATCGTGCAGCAAAATCTTTATGGAAAATAGCTGTTGAACATCATGCATTTTTTCGGTAAATAATTATAACTTTAAAAAAAAAAAAAAAATTTCTTTTTTTTTTAAGTCTTCGTCGACCAGAAGAAATTCGCAAACGACCAATTATACCAAGATTTAATTCAACATTTCGTTATACAGGAAAATATACATATCATCAAGCTCGACAATTATTACTTGATAGACCTAATCCTGATTTTGAAAGATCATTAAATAAACGAATGACAAAAAGTCTTGATGCTTGTAAATATTTAATTTAATTATTCATTTTTGGTTTTTTTTCTACAAACTTTTTATTTAGTAAACAATAATAATTCAGGTGAAAATTCTTTTAAATACAGTTTTTATTGCCTCTTGCTTATCACACTCACTTTCTAAAAATTATTTTTATAACGAAAAAAAAAATTATTTCTTATTGTTTTTTTTTTCCTAGCTGGAATTGAAATAAATCGTCCAACTAAACCAGTTATTCAACGACCATTGCCACGTCCTCAAAGTATTGAACCATTTTTTGAAACACGTCGAATACCAATATCTAATGTATGTGATTGCTTTTTGCTTTTTTTTTTTTTTAATAATCTCTTAATTTTCTATAGACATAGGTCTAGTTCTTAAGGTAATAGGCATGACAGAAAAAAAAAGGAATATATTTTTTTAATGAACAAAAAAGAATCGAAATGCATGAATTTTGTCATCTGAACAAAAAAAAAAAATATAATAGTTTTATCATTGATTGAATTTTCTTTTTTGTTTAGGAAGATGATGATGAAGATGAATATCCACCACCAACAGTTGTAAAAGATCCAGAATATGCACATGTAAAAAAGAAACTAGATCGTGAACCAATTGAACGACTACCAGTAAGTATTTCTTTTTTTTGCTTGTTCTTAGTTATTTTTAAATGGGATTTTGTTTTTTTTTTTTTATTAAAGAGTACACCACCAAAAGTACCGGTACGTTATGTTTTAATTCGTTGTTGATATTCTCACTTTGAAAATTTATTATTGTCCTGTAATTTCAAAAGGAAAGCGCATAGGAAAAAATTCTTTCACGTTTCTTTCAATCTCAATAAGTCCTATGTAATCACTGGGATCATATTTTAAATACGAGATATCATCATCAGTGTTACTCTCGTCTATGAAAATGAAGATTTTCACTAAATATAGAGTTTTGTCATAATACCATTTTTATATAATGTCTTGTCCAGTCAAAATAAAATAGGAGAGTATCGAAAATTGTTTAGAAAATGTTTTCTAGGAATTGATAGATATCAGAAAAACTTTTAGTATAAGCATTTGTTTGTATAAGAGATTAGTTAAGTACCCATATTATCACTCTATAACAATTATTTCCGAGAAATTTTTCTCCTATTTTTTTGTTTTAGTTTTGTTGAAAGTGCCCTATTTATTTGTATAAAAATCAAATAAAACAGGCCCGACGGTATATGAATGAGAGTGTGAAAGTGTGATAAAAGCGTGCATTACTCGAAGGTAACAAGAGCAAAAATATTTAAGTACGACATATGCTATTTGTTTACGTCATCTTTTGCGTACTTTAAAAAATAAAAAAAAAAAGTCTAATTAATTATATTATTAATATATTGTTTTAATATTTATGAATTTGTATGTAAAAATAATTCATTACTAAACTTGATTATTGTTATTTTCAATTAAAAAAAAAAAATTAAAACATCTTCGACTTAGTTCGTTCAAGATATAATCGATATTGATTTTGATATAATGAAAAAGTGTAAACGACATCGCTTTCAATCATACATGAAAACGATTATGTTAATAAATTTGAGTATTTCCTTTTTCCTAACATTTAGGAAGTTAAACCGAAACGACCACCACCTCCGGTAATTTATGTTAATATTCCAGTAAGTGATCATGAATGTTATCTACGTTTTTTTTTTTTATTTGATGACTTTTTCTTCTAGCCGGAACCACCTGTTCGACCACCAGCACCACGCGAACCATCACCAACGATGGATCCTGATGAAGTAAGAAAACTTTTTTTTTGTCGATTGTTTGATTTTATATTTATTTTATTTAGGCTCTTCTTGCAGCAATTCGTTTAGCAACTGATCTTGATCCAAATAAAGAAGCAGAACGAGTAGTAATACCTAGTAGTTAAATAAATTTTTTTTTTTTTTTCGTTCTTTTCTATACTTTTTATTTGTACAAATGATTAATTTTGGTTTTTCTTTTTTCTAATGAACACGTACTAAGAGCTTTTTCTTTTTTTTGCTAGAGTTATTTGTTTGTTTTTTTCAATAACAATATTGTGCACATAAATTAACTGTCATTAATATTCATTTATCTATATCTCAATAGTGTATGTGTGTGTGTGTTTTTCTAAAATGATTTTTTTAAATAGATTATGTTTTATTTGTCTATTGTGCGAGATATATATATATATATTTTTTTTTTCGTCTTTTATATTTTTATCTAACGGTACTCTATGTTTAAATTTATGAATGTATATTTCAAAAATTCATTTTGTTTAAATAATCATTAATATATATGATTGTTTAATCTAGAAAATGTTTTTTCTTTTTTTTTTAATGAAATTTTTAGAGAAGATTGAAGAAAAAAGTTGAATAGTTATTTAATTGTCATAAATAATTATCATTTATGATAAAGTAAATCTATATATGTTTAGACTTATGAATAATATACCAGTTTATTTTATAGTATGTACATTAATAGAATAGAATAAAATGAGTCTTATTCACGATTCACTTGTTGACCTTGAACATGTATAAAATATAGTTAGATACTAGCTCACATGTTTGCTAAAGGTGGTCTCTTTTTTTCATTGAATCGTTTTGCTAGTAGATGGCCAGAAACACGATTCAAAAAAGAGACCGCCCTTAGCAACATGTGAGCTAATATGTAGCCACTTTTTATATATGTCCGTGTCCAACAATTAAATCATGAATAGGACTTATTCAGTTCAGATTAAAATGTATAAAGATAAGAGTGCTATACAATCGCAAAACATAGAATGCAATTGATGATTCATACTAATTGGTTTATAAAACATACGTAAAGTTAAATAAGTACAGATCAGTTGTTATTATGTTTTATAGGATATTTTCAGATTACACGAATTTCGACTCAGCAAAAAAAAGTCATATAGAACTTCCAGTTCCTTTCATTAATTTTTCTAAAAATTCAAAATCCTATCTTACATTCCGTCATACTTCACCAAGATAGCCTAGTTCATCAAGTATGAAGTACATGCTCATGATTCTTACTGAACAGAATTTTATTCATAGAAATAAGACTTTTTATGAAGATTAATGAAAGAAATTTTTCGGATTGAACTGCAATTCTAACCTTCCCAATAGAGCTGATTGAGTTCATCTATTGATAAGATATTTGACTGTTTTGTGGTTTTTTTTTTTATTAATGAAAAATATTTAAACAATAAATAAGTATTATTACAGTTTCGATGATACACGTTGAATACTTTCTTCAATTCGAATAACATCATTATGTGTAGGTGATAATGAATGACGATAAATCATAGCTGCTTTTTCAAGATATGATAATGCTTGTAAATATGCACCTGTATTTTCATAAACATAAGCCATATTTTCAAATGTTAATGCTATTGATGGATGTTGTGATGGAAGTGTTTGTGATTTAAGTTTAAGAGATAATTTATAATGTTCAATAGCAAGTTCATGATGACCAAGACGTTCATAAACAGCACCAATATTATTATGTGAACCAGCTAAATCATGTGGATTAACTGAATGATGTCTTTCACGTATATTTAAAGCTTTTTGAAATGATTCAAGAGCTTCAATATATTTTTTTTCTCTCTTATAAACAACACCCATATTATTATAACATCCAGCTACATTTGGATGATTTTTTCCATATGCTCGTCTCCATATAATTAATGCTTTATTAAATGCTTCAAGTGCTTTTTCATGATCACTTTTATGTTGATAAACAATACCAATACAATTATAACTTTGTGCTATATTTGGATCATTTGATTTCATAATTTTTAATTTAATATCTAATGATTTATTTAAACATTCAAGACTTGTATCATAATCACCTCTTGCTTCAGCTATTCGACCTAAATAATGATAAGAACGACTTATAAATATTTCATTATATGTTGAATCATTAAGTAAACGTTGATAACATTTTTCAGCTTCATCTAATTTTCCTGTTCGTTTTAATGCATTACCAAATGAAAGAAGATTTATATTATTTTCATCATATTGATGTTTAATATAATCAAATATTGGTTTTAAATGATGATCATCATCACTACATAATATTAAATGTATTGTATTAATATCATTTTTTTCAAGATATATATTATCAATACGAAATATACTTCCTAATGAAAATAATATTTCTTGTTCATTCGATGTTTGACTATGTATAGTTATATTAGCATATGGTTTTATTTTTGTTAAATGAGGATCAATATCAATTTTAAATAAAATTTTTGTTAATTTATCATTATCATATATATAATTATTTAAATAATCAAGTGCATCATTACGATAAATATATGCAGAAAAAAATGTATTTATTGATATATATTTTCCAATTGATTCTTTAAATAAATCTAATTCATCATTAGATAATAAATAACTACGATAAACACGATTTATTGTTATTGATTGATCATTTTCTAATTGTCGAATAAGATCATGAATATAAAATTGTAATAAATAAAGTAAATCAATATTTATGATATTTAATGATTTATTTAATAATTGATATAAAAATGAATCATATGTATACCACCATAATGCATTTGATGATAAATAATTATGTTCAAATTCATGTAAAATTTTCAATTGATTTAAATTATCATTATAGACTGTTTTACATAAATCTATTAATTCTTTTTTATTTTCTATTATTTGTTCATTTGTTAATTTAATATGTAATAAAAAATGAATTAATAATTGTGAATAAAGAAATTCAGTATTTGTATTTGATGTTAAACGATCTAATGGTTGATTTATATCGAATATATTTATTGTTAAAGGTTCTTCTAATTTTTTTTGTTTTATATGATCAATTTTTATTTGAATAATTAATTCATCAAGATCAGATTTAATAGATTTAATCTAAATATAAGATTATAGATTTAAATATCTATTATTATTTTTTATTTTTCGAATAATTTTTGTTTATACTAAACAAAATTATAAATGATTCTAAATTCTTCATGTCAATTGATCAAAACAAAAAAACAAACTTATAATCTTCTATAACTAACATAATTATGAATCATATGTTGATTAGTTTTAATATAACTTATCGCTTTTTTTTTTCAAACAACTATTTCATTAAATCATTCCCGAAAGATATGAATTTCATTGTTTTTCTTTTTTTCAAATACAAGATACTTTTTAATATGTAATTTTTTTGATGTAAGTTAATCTTATTTGCTATTTAATAAAATGTTTACAAATATGATGATTAAATACAGGTAAACAAAAGTTATGTTGGATGAAAAGAAAACGATTCTTGGGTTTTTTTTTTGTGTGATTAATAAATATGTATTACAAAAAAAAACAAAAATCATGCAATTAATTCTAACCTTTTTATATTGATGAATCAATTCATCATTTTGATTATCTTCTGTTGAATGTATATAAATTGATATAATTTGTCGAAATTCATGTATACGTGTAATCATTTTGAAAGCAGATTTTTCATTAATAAGAATAACAACACGATCATCTTTAGATAAAGTATGTATATATTGTTCACATTCATCAATATCATGAAATATTCTTAAATAATTTATTATTGTACGTATTTGTTGTTGTATATCATTATTATCATTTTTTAATAAATCAAGCCAAATTAAACTAAATATTTCATAATTTTCACCAATTGTTGATACTGATGATGATCTACTTGAAGATCCATTGGTTTCCATTTTCCTAGATATTAATGAATAAATAAAAATAAAAACGCAAAATTCATCGTTCTTGTCTAATTTCTATTTTCACTTACATTTTATCATGTATTTCTTTTTTTACGTGTGCAATAACCGAAACGAAAGACAAGTGCAATATTAAGCGAGAAAAATATAAATATATATATAGATGTATAATTTTCTTATATAACAGAACGACAAAGAAAAAATAATACTTACGTATGTGTGTCATTCTACGGATTTCTTTTTTTTTTTATAAATATGAAAGGTAATAATTATTATCATATGTGTATAATCGATTTATATTTATTCAAAACAAAAAACAAACAAAAGCTTACAGGTGTCTATGTAATTTTGTCTCTGGGAAGTGAACTAGCATTTATTTGGAAATTTCAGATGACTTTGGGATACTTCATGTTTATAAAAGTATTGAAATGAGGATCAATGTTTTTATCCAACGTGAGAAATAAGGGAGCAATGTGTCTCCGAAAGTTGAATTGACCCTTGTTCGAATGTTTAGGATTATTGTAATATATATAAGTGTGCTTATGCTTGAAGAAAATAGTTTTGCGCTGTATGAAAGAGAAAAATTTAAATAAAACACTTATAAGAATATATAAATTTCAATTAGGTAAAATTCTAAACGAAAAACAATATATCTTCAAAGATTTTAATAGATAAACTAATGATATATGTTCTACAGAAGTATGCATACTACTTCTTTACAGATTATCTTTGAATGCATGGATAGTAAAAAGAAAAACAACAAAATGGTCTATATTTGTGAAATATTTCATCACTCATAAACTAATATTAATCAATCTTTTGAAGCTGAGCATATTGTTCGGATAATATTGATGCCTTTTGAGCCCAAAATAAATTTTAATTATAGATGCTACTGCAAGAAATTTTATTCATAAAATATAATCTGAAATTGTTTTTCTTCTTGGTTTATCTTCTAATAAATGATTCTAATTTAGATAGAAAATATTCTCTGAAATCATTTATAACTAGAACCAAATATTGTAATCATTATCACCAATTCCTATGAGTACTCCATATGTATTCTAGTCGAAATTCTAAGTCTCTTTTTTTTTTTGAATAATTTCTGTTAAAATAAAAAAAAAAGATTATTTTGTTCAACAAATTTTATCATTACAATTCTTTTAAGAAAAACCAATGAAGAGGAAATAACCTTAAGTATTTATTCGTGATCTCTTATCCATGAACATCAGTCTATCGTTCATAATATTTATGAATACAAAAAAAAAATAATACATTTTAGTACAATAATAAAAACTCATTTCTTTTATATTTTTCTTCTTCTGATCACAATTCAACTGTTTAAACAAATCGACCTCTTTCAATAAAAAACAAATCTATTTATATAAGATTCTAATCTCATAAAGAATATCTTTAAAACAAAAAAGAGAAAATGAAAACAAGAACTGATCCTAATTCCATTTAGTCAATAGTACATTCTATATAATCATCATCATCATCACCACCCGATAGTTATCAATGTAATTGAAGTATATACAGTTCTTTTCAACTATATAGAACATCATCGGATGCCTTAGGACGTATATGCAGATGTATGCATCCGTTGTGTCGTTTACTTTGATCTTGTTTATTTTTGCCTATTCTATTCATTGGTATTGTACATAGGTCTATTATAAACAAATGATGACTCTATGTATGTGTGCGTATATGTGTATATTCAACACATCTTTAACCATTTGTCATTTAGCCAACAGTCTACTAGAATTTTTTTGTTTCTGATTTTCCTTTTTTTTTTTTTTTGAATTCGCAAATATGAAGCAAAACACGCACAAATATAAAGAATTGGAATGTATATAGTTTTTTTTTTTTTGTTTTCTAGTATCTATGAAGTTTTTGTATTTAAAACATCAGTATCTTTTTTATGATCCATTGATGATGATGTTGTTGTTGTTTTGTCAAATGTTTTATTCATTTCTGTTAAATAATTTTGTAATGCTGACATTGCACCAACTATAGCCGGTGTACCAAAACCATGTGTAACTAATGAAAAATGTGTTAAATGTCGTTGCATTGATAGATCAAGTACAGGTGCTAAACGACTATTTGTACCTAATGGTGAACGATCTTGTGAAAGTAAATCAGTAAATTCTTTAATTAATTGTCTATAGAAAAGAACAAAAACAAAAAAAAAGCAAATTATTAAAATATTTTGTTTTTTGTATATTTTACTTTGCAGCAAGAATATTTTGTTTTCGTTTTGTAATACCACATGGTTCTTGTAAATGATGTGTTGTATTATATTGACGATTAACATATTCAGCACATTGACGTGCTGGAAATTCTTGATCACATACATAATGAAAATCACGAGCTAAATGAGCAGCTTCACCTAAAACAAAAATAATTAAAAAAAGAAAAAAACAAGAATTATTAATTTACCTTCAACAAGTGATGTTAATAAAGTAACTGTTGCTGCTTTACGTCTTCCAGCTGGTAGATTAACACCAATTTTTTCAAGTTTTTCACGTAATATTCTTCCACCATTTTTTGATTTTGCTCTAGAAATAAAAATAAAAGAGTTTATAATTAAAAAATAAATGTTACAAAAAAAAAAATACCTTCGTAATATTCCTCCAAGTAATGATGCATTAAGACATTCTGGTGGTGAAAGACGTCTTTGAACTTCAGCTACACATACTTTATATTTAGAATTTGAACTAAGTAATGATAATCGTCCTGGTACACTACAAAATACATCTGTTGGAGCTAATGGTCCATTACCAGTACCTAAATTTAATTGAATACCCTCTTTTGTATCACTACGACGTGGATCTAAATGAAACAAAAAAAAAACAAACATATTTTCATTTCTTATTTATTTTATTTTATTTCTTTTACCTCGTTGAAATGATGTTCGATAGTGTTCAGAAAATCCTTGAGGAACATTATCATCAAGACCTGGTACCTAAAATAAATTGTTATTTAAATTTAAAAAAAAATAAATAAATAAAAGAATTAAATATTTAATTTACTCGAAAAGCTGTTGTATTCGTTGAATCAGTACCTAATAAACCACTACGATAAAGTTGTAAAGATTCAGGATCAAGTACCATTGCATGACGTGTATAATATGATGCAGCATATTCAGCATAGGCACCATAAGGATGATTTAATTGTGCTGTTGTTTCATCGATATTTACATTTGATGAACGTACAAGTGAATTATATGATTGTGATACTTGATTACCGGTATATGGTGGTGATGATGATGATGTATAATCAAGATTATGTGAATGATTTGATTGTATTTGATCAAATGGATGTTGATGTGAATGATGTGATACATTTGGAAATGGTGGTGGAAAATATGGTGGTTGAAAATCAACTGTACCAGAATTTGATGTTAAAGGAATTGATGATGATGATGATGATGATGCTTGAGTATGTGTTCGATTTGGAATTGTTGAAACATTACCAAAATTATTTGATCGATCCTATTTATATTAATAAATATTAAAAATTTACTTTAGAAAATATTAAAAACAAAAAAACGATTGTATAGAAAGATACACTAGATTCTGTGTCTCTCTTCTCTAAAAAATAATTGAGATTTAAGATAGATTTGAAAATTACTCTCGGTTATAATTTTTTTATCCATTTGAAATAGATACATATATATATATATTTATATATGATACCTTATCATCTCATCCATATATATATATATATATGTATATAATACATATGACATCAGTGTACAATGAGTAAAAATATTATTTCTCTCTTATATTTTTTTGTCTATATATGTGTGTAGAACATTAGCTATTTCGATGGCAAGCCAATTTACCTGCCAGGAATTTTCGGCAAGATGATGATGATGAAGGTGATGAAATGACATCAGACGACCGCTGGCGGATGTGTTCGTACAATGTGTAATGCTATGCAAACGCCGCTCGACTCAAATCGTGTACATAGAGCAAGCGAGCAAACCAAAGAGAGAGAGAGAGAGAAAAAAATTATGTCGATAGAGAAAAGATAGCTAATGGGCGCACGATGAATGTAGAGATAGTGTTGTATGTCGTACTGGTTCCGTTGTTTCTATTCGTCGTTATTACTTCTACTGCCTTCAAGTAAAAAATACGACGATGATAGAGAAAAAAAAGAGAGAGAAAGCGAAAGTGAAAGAGAGAAAATCGACTTCTTTTATATTTTTTTTTTGCTTTTTGCTGTTATTACAACTAGAATAAATAATAGTCAAGGCAAAATTCTTTTCTTTTTAGCTTGTACGTGGATTGTTTTATCACTAACGACTATCGTTTTCTTTTTTTTTTTTTTTTCATCTATTCGGATTGGTTACTCAGGAAAGAAAAACATACTCGAATGCGGATTGGTTATGTCAATAAATGGATAAGAGGGGAAGAAAAAAAAGAAAGAAGCATATTATACAAAAACTGAAGTTAATGTTGTTAACTTTTTAAAGATTTTATTTTTAAGAGAAAAAAAAAAAAATTTGTTTCATCAACGAACAAAAATGTTAACGAATAAATTTATGATGAAATCGGCTTCTTTTTTTTTTGTTTTGATTGTCTGTTATTGATAGATTTTGATAAATAATGATTGGCTTCGTATGATGAATAAAAAAATCATACATTGATTTATTTTCAATTGATTAGATAACAAGTAAATCTTTAGTTGCATCATACTATTATCAAGCTAAATGGTTAATCAATGGTTTATTGAAGTTTTAGAATAGAAACATTTTTTTTTAAATATATGACGACTTCTTTTCTTTAATCATAATAGAGTTATGATATTAATCGATGATGTTTGAGATCGATTACAAATTTTCTCTAAGTTTCATACTACTTGAAAGAATTCATTTTTCAAACATAATCGAAATCATCTCGTTCCCAATCGTTTAAAGTCACAGCAGTTAAACTCTGTCTCAAATTCCTCCATCATACAGAAACCAGCTGTTTGCAAAGAACCTCTCTCCC